ATTTAAGAACTAGAGGAAAGTTATATGTTTCATCGCTGCTACCCTGCACCCCGATTGGCTCGTCTCCTCCCTTCAACCATTCAGCAAGGAGGTGTCCAGTTGCTTACCGATGGGCTTTGAGTCTCCACTCTGCACTCACCCAGCTTTACAATGATATGATTTTTTGTTCTTTGATGCCTGATACCTGATCCCTCCGACACCTCGTGGTCACACAGGCTGGTGTGCTTCTTCCATGTGGGCTTTGTTGCTTCTGAGTTTGTTGGTCGCTTGTTTATCTTCAATCCTTTAAGACCCCAGAGGCTATATCTTTTGATAGCCGGGCACCATCAGCTTTCTTCTCCACATTTGCTTATGCACACATTTGTCTTCAGTGATTGTATCAGGAAGGTGGGAACCCACTGATCTGATTTTTAGTTCTTTGATGTCTTATAACTGGTCCCTTCTGCACCTTGTGGTCAGACAGGCTGGTGTGCTACTTCCATGTGGGCTTTGATGCGTCTGAGCTAGATGGCTGCTTGTTTATCTTCAAGCCTTTAAGACCCTAGATGGTGTATCATTTGATAGCCAGGCACCATTAACTCTCTTCATTACATTTGCTTATGCACATGTTTGTCTTCAGTGATTGTGTCAGTAAAGCGGGCACCCACTGATATGATTTTCAGTTCTTTGATGTCTGGTAACTGATCCCTTCTACACCTCATCGTCAGACAGGCTGGTGTGCTTCTTCCATGTGGGCTTTGATGCTTCTCAGCTAGATCGCCGCTTGTTTGTCTTCAAGCCTTTAAGACCCCAGATGTTATATCTTTTGGTAGCCAGACACCATCAGCTTTCTTCACCACCTTTGCTTATGTTCATATTTTTCTTCAGCAATCGTATCAGGAAGGTGTGCATCCTGGAATGCCAATTTAATAGAACAATGTGTTCTTGCAATGAGTAAGTGCTTGAGTGGAGGCCCAATGTTCATCTGCTGCCTTAATACTAAACCTATTTAATATATGCACGTAGATCTGTTTACACACACACGCACACACACATATATTTACATATGTACATTCCAGCCTTAAAACCTCTATTAATACCCTTTGTCCCCTAGTTCTTTCCTCTATTTCCCTTTACTCTCCTCTTGTCCCACTATCATGCTCAGCCTTCATTTGGGTTTCAGTGATTTCTCTCGGTTACATTGCCTTTGCTGAATCCCTACCAGGCCTCTCACATCCTCCTTGCCACTGCTTTTGGATCACTTGTTGCTCCCCTGTCCCTGGGTTGGTCAGCACCACCTCCTTACCCCCGCCACTCCCTATCCCGTGTCCCTTCGGAACCATTGGTCCCGTTGTTTTCTCCTCCGGACTATTCATTCAGTCTATCTTATCTAGATAGATCTGTAGAGACACTAATATGCATAAAAACCCAAGCCATAGCAAGATAGGTGATCAGTGAGAACACAGCGATGGCAACAAAAAAAAGGAAACCTATTACTCATAGAAGAATAAATTAATCAAAAGAAAAAAATTTTAAGCAGAAAGAGAAACCTGTAAATAGATCAAGGTCTGATTTTTTATCTCTAGGCATGTCAGGACCAATGGGGTACCATGCTCTGGCTGTGGGGATGGTTTTATGAGTACATACAAATGGCCAAGTTTATTAACTTGCATACCTGAAACCAATGTGATTCATTGTGTATACATTATTTTTGCATAAAGTTGGCATTAAAATACTAAACAGTCTGACTTTAATTTTAAGCCAGGATAGAGGAAGGCACATGACACAGTCTGCAATGGGGAGAATCTATCAAAACTCCAACACCTGAGAATTGTCCCATAGGTGTAATCTTTTTTCCCCCCTATAGCTGTCATCTTTACAGAAGCAAATTGCCACATTTATTTCATCCCACTAAGCATCTGGTGGGCTTGAACTGTCAACCTCTCCATCAATAGCCAAGAAATTAACCACTGCACCATGAGGGGTCCTTTGGAACAGTTGCCCAGACTTAGACTGAGATTGGTTTTCCTTCATGTTTCTATTTATTTTTAGATTACAGAGGTATCTGGAACCTTACCAGAATTTCTCCGAAGCACATGGCAGAAGGCTTTTTCCCTGCTTAGCTTCTGCAGTTTGTCTTCATGCACCTACTGATTACAGTAAATCTCTTAAAAGCATGAGCCAGTGTATTGAGGATAGAAAGGAACTAAATAGCAACGGGATCTGACTCAGGGACAAAAAAGGACTTGGTGGTAGTGCCACCACTCTTCCTCCAGGGCTTCTCTTCAATCATCTGGATCAGAAGTACTGAGTCCCTGTAAAGAAAGTTGTGAAGGGCTCATGCTCATAATATACAAAATCAAGTAACTCCAAGAGCTTGTGGGAAGATGGAAGAGTGTGGCTTCCTACTGAAAAGAGGAAGATGGGTGGTAAGAAAAGGAACAGGATTGGGGAGACTAAGTGTTGTCAGATTAGGAGGGACTTTGAATTTCAAGGCCATGTATTTTTGAGTGTATCATAACCAATATAATTTTCATAGCTTTGTAAACAAGAAAGTAAACTCCATTTGGGTTTTAGTATGCAATTTAAATTATGGACCACAAGAGGGCAAGAGAGAGCACTTGCAAGAGCTGCTCATCTAGTGCATTCAAATAGTGTCCTTTTCCTACTCCTTCCTTACTTTTTTTTTTTCAGTAGAAAGCCATTCTCTTCTACTGTCCCACAACTTCATGGGGTTTCTTAATTCTATACATTATACTGCATGGCCTTTCACCACCTTCTCTTCCTGGGCTCTATACTCCTGACCCAGGTCAAGTTTCTCCTATTTTGTGTGTGTGTGTTTGTGTGTGTGTGTGTGTGTGTGTGTGTGTGTTTGAAGCTTTCCACTAATCTTTCAGGTCTACACGCTCTTTTTTATAGTTGCAAAGTATAAAACCCAAAGTAAACCACTGCCACTGTACTGATTGTATTGATTCAGATCCAGAGAGACCCAATAGGACTGAGCAGATCTTAAACAAACACACCTAATTCACAATAAAAAGTTTAAAAGAAAAAAAAACCCTTAAACAAATAAATGAATAAAGTGCATTATATTATTTCATTTAAAATATACAGTAAATGTTTTAATATCAAGATACGCCAGGAGCTACCAAAAGTTTATGAAAAATTCAATCATTAAAAAAAGTTTTATTGGTATTTAATTCACATACGAGTGTGCAAACATCACCACAATTAATTTTAGAGCATTTTCTTCTTTCTCATACTCCATGTTGTTAGCTCCCCAACTTCCCCACCACCCTCCCCTGCCATGGCCCCTGGTGATTATTAATCCATTTACTGTCTCTATAGACTTACCTCTCCTAGATTTCATATTCAGAAAGTTCGATGAAACTAGAAACAAGAAACAAAGAAACAAAGAAACAAAGAACAAGACAAGAAACAAAGACATTGCAACCCCCCCCCCACACAAAAACCAACATAGAGACAAACCTCAATGAAAAATAAAGCAAAAATATTTAAAAATGGAAACAAATATAGGTCATAGGAAGATCAAACGAAAAGGTGATAACATTTTAACCAGACAAGGTCTTTCATAAACAATTTCACAATGCGGTCGGTCTGTTAGCGAGGCTTTTCTCATTCCTGGACTAGGATCAGAGGCAGTACGTCTTTACACAAGCAAACGACCTTAGTCTTCTGTTGAGGGCATCTGGTGGGTTGGAACTACCAATCCTGAGGTTAATAGCCCAGTGTCTATCCCACTGCACCCTACCCTAAATTACATGACCTTGATTGATAATGTTAAACTTTATCTGATCTCTGTGCTCTGAAAAGCAGGTGTAATTACAAAGATCCCTTGCCCATTTTTAATTCCAGAAAACTGCTTACTGCAAAAAGCCACTTGGTCCAATGAGACTTAGATCAGACTCATAGATGCCCTTCTCCTTTACCTATGACAAGGCCCGACACTGACCTCTGAGTTCCATAAAAGATGAACGGACCCACTGGTTCTCACTGAAGAAAGCGAGGACAAAGCAAGGCGCTTGAAACGAATGCCTAAACTCGAGCTGCGCTTCGCTCCTTCTCACAGTACCCTGACTTGACTCAGCCTCAGCCCCCAAGAGCTGCACCACCGCCACCGAGCCAGTGCTGATTCCCAGCATGGACCCCTGTGCGTCCCCGAGGTCCCAACGGACTGTGGGAGTAGAAAGCCCAGTCTCCCTCCTGCAGAGCTGCTGGTGGTTTAGAACCACTGACCATCAGGACTGTAGCCCAACTCGTAGCCTCTACAAGTCAGTCTATGACTCCTCCTGAAGAATACCTTGCCCCTCCTAAGCAAACTGACGCCAGGGAAAACCATTGCATGATTATTTCACTCCTCAAATTGTCTTTGTCCAGGTTATCTTTAACCTCTCCTAAAATGACGCCACCCAATTCCATTCTGCCTGACTTTTGAGAAGATTTCTGATGTTACGAAAGCATGTGATGTTACACAGACACCATGGAATGAAGCATCCAATAATAAGATTCATTTCCCTAACTGTAACAATCCTTTCAAATATACTTTCTTTGGATCTAAATCTGAATTTGTTTTTATTTCAGAACACAAATGCTCAAAATGTGTCTTAATATACTTTCCCCTAGATTGTGTTCGGGGAACAGGGATTGTGTCAAATCTATATTGTGGTCTTCTTCTTCCTGTGCCTCTGACTGCTCTCTGTGACTGTTGTCAACAGTTTCTGTCTCTGTGTCAGTCTCTGCATCTGTCGCTGTGTCTCTGCCTCCCTGCCATTTCCCTCCTTCTTCTCCACCTACCTTGTCTCCTGGAGGCTGAGATCCTGTTTTCAGGTGGCTGCTGGGTGAAGAGTAGGCTGCTGACTCCCCGCTTCCGTCCTCAGAGCTCCGACCTCAAGAGCGTGCCTGACTATGCAGTGAATTTATACTCCAGTCAGGAAGTGAGAACCTGGTTTCAGTTTTGTTTTCACTTGTTTTTTTCACCTTTCCAAGAATCCTGAGATTTTAAAGGAATTTTGTAAATTTTTATTGTGATTCTCAAGTTTCAATTATATGGCAGAGGGAAGATAAATGTTCATAGTATGTTAGTGTGTTTGTATTGTGTGTATTGTGAGAGAGAATGTGTGTGTCTACATATATATAAACCTGAATGTATGTATGCATGTATGTATCTCTATCCATTGAGGGACAGTTTGAAATCCATTGAAAAATAATTTTAAAACACCTGATATTCTGATTTCTGAGGTAACTCACCCAGGCCAGGCCTCTTTTTTTTTCCTTCCCCAGAATATTTTCTTTCTTTTTAAAAAAATATTTAATTGAATAATTTTTTATTAAAATTTAAAAACCATTTATTGGGGGCTCTTACAGCTCTTACCACAATCCATACATATATGCATTGTGACAAGCACCTTTGTACAGACATTGCCATCATCATTTTCAAAACATTTTCTTTCTACTTGAGCCCTTAGTATCAGTGCCTCATCCTCCCCTTCCCACTCTCCCTTCCTCACGACCCCTTGATAATTTTTTTTTTCATGTTTTACATCAACCAATGTCTTCCTTCACCCACTTTTCTGTTGTCCATCCCCTGAGGGTTATATGTTGATCATTGTGATCAGTTCCCCCTTTCTCCCGCCAACTTTCCTGTACTCTCCTGGTATCGCTTCTCTCATTATTGTTCCTGAGGGGTTTCTCTGTCCTGGATTCCCTGTGTTGCGAGGTCTTATCTGTACCAGTATGCATGCTCTGGTCTAGTTGCATTTTTAAGGTAGAATTGGGGTTATGATAGTGGTGGTGTGGGGAAGGAGGCTTTAAGAACTAGAGGAAAGTGGTATATGTTTCATCAGTGCTATACTGGCTCATCTCTTCCTTGTGAGCCTTCTGTAAGGGGATTATCAGTTGTCTACAGATGGGCTTTTCGTCTCCACTCCACCCTCTCCCTCATTCACATCAATATGTTTTTTTGCTCTAAGTCTTTGATGCTGGATACCTGGTCCCATCTACACCCCATGAGCTCACAGGATGGTGTGCTTCTGCCATGTGGGCTTTGTTGCTTCTCAGCTAGATGGCTACTTGTTTATCTTCAAGCCTTTAAGACCCCAGACACGATATCTTTTGATAACTGGGCACCACCAGCTTTCTTCACCACATTTGCCTATGCACTCATTTTGTCTTCAGCGATTGTGTTGGGAAGGTGAGCATCACAGAATCAGGCCACTGCTCTTAAATGTTCTTTTGAACTTTATACCTTTAAGAAATTGGTTTCAAAGGTCACATGAACTGAAGAAAACTGTCTAGATTAATAAGTAAAGACAGTTTTGTCTTAGGTATTGTGCTTTTTCCTCAAAGCAGCCAGTGGCTTTGAACTGCTGCCCTTGCAGATCAATGCCCAATGTTAACCATTATGCCACCTGGACTCTACTTGTATTGTGCTTTTTTAAAAAAGAATGATCTGTGAAAAATTGACCCCAGAAATGCCAAAGTTCAGACTAGAGTTATGTTTTAAGGTAAATCAATAATTATTTTAATTGTTTTTCCAGACAATGTCATTTGAAATCCTTTCAAATTACACATTTTTCAGCTGGTCTTTTATTTTTCCATGGTAATATCAATGTGACGGGGTATAAATATCTGAAAATGCTCTCGTATGGGGGATACTTTTGATTCCATAGTCAACACATTTCTCCATTTTGCAGCATATATTTAATAATATTTAAACAGTATTGTTGACTTCCAGTGACTTTTGTTTTGATATCATTGTGGCAATGGGTGACCCTGGAAAGGATAAAGAACTTGGCAGAAACAGTAGACTAGCATATGACAGTGTTAGAGAAGAGACTTAGGACACATTCATGTTGTTCCCTCAGAATTGGTGTTGTAAGTTCATTACTGATCTCTTTCTCAGGTTACCCGGGGACAAAGAGAAATGCACGTTCTCAGTGCTAACGAAACACTTTAGTTTTTATTTCCTGTTAACGACTTCTATTCTGGAATTAGTTTCAAGATTTGAAATTTTTACTTCTTCTTTTAATTAGTGTTTTGAAAGTGAAGGTCCAACATTGGATTAGCTGATTGGAAAGTTTCAGCACTAAATAGGGTTGAAGTATTGTGTGTCTTTGATGGAAGAGAATGCCACCTTATGATTTATGTTAGAGCTTTTTAGTAGTAGTGCTATTTTGACATTTTCCTTTGACTTATAAATCAGATATAAACCATTTTGTTTTGTTGATTACAATATTTCCACATAATAGTATTCAATACAGGATTGCTTTGTAGAACAGCACACCTGTTCCATTGCCTTTGTTATTCCTCTATTACCAACATTTATTGTCACTGTTGTGAGCCGTTGAGTCAGTTCCTACTCACAGTGACTCAATAGGACAAAGGAGAACTGCCTTATGGGGATTTCCAACGCTATAAGTCTCTATGGACATAAACGGTCACACCTTGGGCCTCTGGAACACCTAGTGGGTTCTGACCACTGACTTGCCTTAACCAGCTGAGGGTTTAACTCCAACCCCAGAATGATGGAGAAATATGAAGACCAGCCAGGGATTTTAGTATATATGCTGAGCTGCTTTCCTCTGGTGTACCTGAGGACAAGGCGCCCAGATGGTGCAAGTTGACAACCGAAGGGCTGAAGGGCTGGCAGATCAGCTTCCCAGGGGAGAATGACGTGGCAGTCAGCTTCCATTTTGGTTAGTCACACAGCATTGCTATGAGTTAGACTGGACCGAGTGGCAATGGGTTTGGGTTATGAGGGAACTGGCATGAGAAAGAAAGAGGACGAGGGGTGATGTTTACCGACAGCATTTTTACTGAGCAACTGGAACTTCCATGTCTTGTTCTTTTTCCTTAGAGTAGGAGCACATATGTTTTCTAATGAGTGAGAGTTTTAATGTCTGTCAGAGATTAGTTTGAACCCAGAATCCATTATTCAGTAGCTTTGTTACTTACATATTCTGCTTACCCTGTCTGAGGGCAATGCTAGTGGCTGGAAAAGTGGCCTAAGACATGTGAGGCAGCTGAATGACAGGATGAATTTGTTTCAATCAGTGGTACTACATACCTCGCATAATGATAATGAGGACAAAATGAGACAATGAGAGATAATCTATCCCAATGCTTGGCTTAGGGAAGATATTAAAATATGCATTCTTTCCATGCCAGCTCACAATTCACTGGCATATCAAATGGGATTAACAAGAAATATCAGGCAGACATTTCCAGGTTCATGGGTCCCTCAAACATTTAATTGGAACCTCTGAGAATGTCCAAATGAGTGCCAAGATGTTACAGTCCTTAGGGGGATGTTTTTGCACTCTCATGCTTGGCCTTACATGAATATCTATGTTTCTCTCCTGGTATGCAGGATACCCAGAAGTCAGAGTTGATCTGAGCCCCAACAGATGCCCCACCGTGTGATAACATAGCATGCATACGGCAAGTTCTCATTACATTTGTTGTTAAAATTATGGACTAGAAAAGCCTGGCCTCCAAATCAAATTCCCAGCACTTTTATGACACAACAAAGCAGCATTATGTTTCACAAGTCCACCCGTAAGACAGAGAAGAGACTTTTGGTTTCATTTGTCAGTTTTAGCTCAATTCCTGGAAATGTTTATTTATTTAATTCCCCTGAGACACTTAGAAAAGAGCATGCTTGTTAAATGATTTATATTCATTGTGAACTTTTATGTGTTTTCCTTTCTTGCTAGTTTTCTAACTTTAGTTCCATTTGAACCATTCTTGTTATATTCTGAATAAGTTGATAGAGGACAAATTCACCCTGAACTCTGAAAAGACTCATGGGCAAGAGCACAGTGACCCAGTGGCTCGCTTAAGGGTGACACTGAGGTGAGGCAGGAGAGTTGTCTCCAGTGGCAGGGCACCTGTGAATGACTGTTTCCTTAAATTTGTCCCCTTCTGTGCCACACCTGCCTACCCTGGTTCTGGCCCAGGCCCAGGCCCAGGCCCAATTTTGATGGAAAGTTCTGCAGTTGAGTGGAGACAGGGTCCAAGGCATCCATGAGGAGAGAGTGCAGGGAAGCAGAGAGCCTGTTTCCTTCCTGCCTGGAATTTTCTTCCATCTTTCTTTCAAGTTGGTTCATCTTTGGCTAACAGGTAATTTCCTTGCAGGGACTCTGTGAACCTTCTGAAGAGTGTGATCAAGTTCTTGCTAACTGAGAAAGCGAGGAGGAGCCGGAAACACCATATACCTGGTGAGCTTGGAAGCATCCTGTCCTGCCCTCCATAGACACCCTTCTCCGGCTCTCAGGGCATTGCCCAGATGTAACCAGTGTTTTGCTTGCCAAAGGAGGTTGGAAGGAAGAGCATGCCCCTCTTTCCTGAGCACCCTGCGGTTTTTCTGCTTCAGCTACCCAAGCATAGTTCCACCATTCTCTCTTCAGAAAACACGCAATTTTGAGTTAAGTATCAGGTGACATTTTCCTTGCAGATGCAGGGAATATGTGGATTAGGGCTGATTTATCAAGTTTAAGAGATAAAATTATCAGTCTCCTTAAAATCACATATGTATACGGAGAGTGAGCTCCAAGTCTTTTCTCATTACTGCTAGCTGCGTGATCAGGGGAAAATCATTTAATCATTTAATTTTTCATCGTACCTGTTTTTCACAGTATTAATCAGTGAGACCATACGGGTGCCATTCATCCAAACTCAGACCTCAAAAAATAATTCCCTTTACCTCTTTTTCCCACTCAACTCTTACTTACAAGATTCTCTACTGTGCATCTGATTCAGTTTTGTGTGGGGATATGGAATCTGACAGGGCAATAGCCGAAGCTGTTCAAGAACTCTTCTGTCACCAAGACAATGCATATATTTTCTAGACATTTTCATATGTCTTG